GTCAGCAGCCAGTCCAGTGTGTCTGACTGCATTGTCCTGCTCTCTGTGTGGGTCTGCAAGTGAACACAGCCTGGGACATTTCATTTCAGAAACAACCTCAAAACACGTGCATTCCTCACATTCCAGCCCGGGCTCCTGCTCTGCCCACTGGGACGCTAGAAAGGCTAGAAAGGACGCTCATCCTAGACATGGACCAGTACTTCTGTCTGGAGACTGAGGAGTCAGGAGTTATTCCATCCACTTCAGAACACGAGACTTGTTTCAGATTGCATGTTAATGACTATAAGAAAGTCTATAAGGAAGGGAATGAACTATATAAGTGCAGTTACCATCCAATGAAATTGGATAAAAGGCTTAATTTAGAGGTCTGGCCCACTTTTGCATCTCCAGTTAGCTATGATGACCCATTTACTTTAGGCTTGTTACGTAATTACGTTCCATAATTTAAGTCTTTCTGTACATAGTGACCCCAAAAAGCAAACTGCTGCACACTGTCTTCTTACTTCAGCCACACTTAAATCATGTAAGAATGTCTTTTCGTTATTTAACAAAATATTATATAGTGTCATTTATGTTAAAGAAATGTGGTAAATTGCATTGAATATTATTGCACAGTACATTTTGGATCATGTTGATAGTTAATGTGATTCTCTATATAGTTGCTCTGCTAGGACACCTGTGTGAACTTGAGGAGAACTGACTAAGTCTTAATCAGCTCCACTGATCAGGGAGTCGTGCACTGAAATGTTCGCTCCCTAAAAAGTCCCACAGTGCACTGTGAAAACCAGGGAGCATCAATGCTCACTATGTTCCCTTACCGGAAATTCACGAGCTAGGGAGCTGATTGAGACACATATATATATGCACTTAAAATCGACAATTGATTAACAGACATGAAGGAAAAGAAAATGAGGCAAAATCACATTAGTTTTGTTATAAGGTTTTAGGTGACCATCGTTTGTTTTCAGTTTGGAATTTTCTCTAATGCAGTGAAATTCATATACATGTTCTAGATTAGCATATGGAGGATGATCATCCACTGTACTCATCTCATCTCAACCACTGTATCAGTGTCTTCATTCTCTTCTTTATCTGTCTGCCTGCCCACCTGTCTAGCTGTCGGTCATTAAAACTATCTATCTGTCTGTCCACCTGTCTATCTGTCTTTCTGTTTGTCTGCCCACCTGTCTATCTATCTGTCTGTCTGACTGCCCTAATGTCTGCCGATCTGGGGTGTGTTTCCCGTACAACGGCGTAACTCGCTGCTGAACTACCATAGTACGATGCATCGTTGAAGAAATCAATTAGCTAGTCACGGCTGTTTCCCGAAACCGTATTGTCGCAAATTGGTCGTTGAACCACGTTGGTTAATGATGTCACACAGGTGGTGGTAATAACTTCTTTTAATGAAAATGTTTGAGATCGAATTAATGATAGATGGTTTGCTATAAATTATGGACATGGCATCTGAGGACTATTTAAAAAAAAAAAAAAAATCACAGTTATTTTGCTTTATTTCCAGATTTAATCATAGGTTTGTTCTTACGTACTAGAGCACGTACGCACATGCGCACTCTTCAAAAACTGTGTTTTAAATCTCTTTTCAAACTAAAAGACGTAAATGACATTTGTATGTATTCTAAATAAAAGACACAGGATGTACTGAATGTCAGCTTGCTTATTTGGCTCAAGATAAGGATTTATTGAGTCCACATGTCATGCAAACAAGAAACTGCTATCACAGGTATACAAAAAGTATCACAAAAGTATAGATGTCGTTCCAACCACACAACTTTGTGATGCTGTTTGTGAATGTTTGTTAGAACAATGGTTTCGGGAAACACCGACTCTTTGAAGTATGCTGATAACGGCAGAACTTGCGACCATATGGCTAACAATGCTTTTGGGAAACGCACTCCTGTCTGTCTGCCCTAATGTCTGCTGACCTGTCTGTCTGTCTGCCCTAATGTCTGCTGACCTGTCTGTCTGTCTGCCCTAATGTCTGCTGACCTGTCTGTCTGTCTGCCCTAATGTCTGCTGACCTGTCTGTCTGTCTGTCTTGTCTGTGTATATGTCTGTTTTTCTATATGTCTGTCTATCTATCTATATATCTGTCTGTCTGCCCTAATGTCTGCCTGTCTGTCTGCCCTAATGTCTGCTGACCTGTCTGTCTGTCTGTCTGCCCTAATGTCTGCTGACCTGTCTGTCTGTCTGCCCTAATGTCTGCTGACCTGTCTGTCTGTCTGTCTTGGCTGTGTATATGTCTGTTTTTCTATATGTCTGTCTATCTATCTATATATCTGTCTGTCTGCCCTAATGTCTGCCTGTCTGTCTGCCCTAATGTCTGCTGACCTGTCTGTCTGTCTGTCTTGGCTGTGTATATGTCTGTTTTTCTATATGTCTGTCTATCTATATATATATTTGTCTGTCTGCCCACCTGTTTGTCTGTATTTTTGTCTGTGCATCTGTCTGATTTTTAAAACTGTCTCTCTGTCTGTGTGTCTGTCTACTCTGTTTTTAATCTGTAATGTCAGTAGGGTGTTGTGATAATGCTTGTGTGTCTCATCTTTGTGCTGTTAAATCCTGGCTAATCTGAAGCCACGTTGCACACACACAAATCTCCTTATCATAAACAGGACTGTCACTGATCTTCCGTAGAGAAGAAGTTTGGCAGTGTATATTGGGTACAAGTTTTTATACAGATATCTACAATGGCTTGTTATTTGTTCAAATGCATCTTGCTGGTGTGGCATTTATGTAAATGTTATTGGCAAATGTTAATCTTTAAGCCACGTTCATCATGAACATCTGTAAGCCATATCTCTTCCTAATACACACTCAGACACATTGTCTCTCAAACACACACTTGAAATACTGAAAGTGCATGACCTCATATCAGATTAAGTGTGTGTGTGTGTGTGTGTGTGTGTGTGCGTGCGTGCGTGCGTGCGTGCGTGCGTGCGTGCGTGCGTGCGTGCGTGCGTGCGTGCGTGCGTGCGTGCGTGCGTGCGTGTGTAGGTGTCAAAAGAGCCTTGAGTATAATATTACACTCACAGAAAAGTATCTGGACATCATATCTAGTGAATGTTTAAACTGGAGGAATTTATTGTTATATTGGACCAATTTCAGAATTGAAATGAAGATGCTGACTATGATCTTCTTATCTCTCCGTTCTATTCAAAAGGAAAACCTGACAGACATGTATTTAAAGGTGGATATACAGGAATAATTTACTCAAAAATGAATGAAGGTCAAGTTACCTAATATTTTAAGTGACATTACACTTCACACACAGTCCTATCTATGATTTCTGTTTTATATCTCTTTTTCTGTATGTTTCTGCCCTATTTTTAATTAATAAATAATGAATTTAATAAATAAAAAAATAAGGAATACTCTATGCCATTCAGCCATATGCTTCATTGTATGGAAAATGCAGCATGATCACTCTGCAAAACATATTTAGTTTTACACCAAAGAAAATAAGGAAGTCAAACACGTTTGAAATGGCATGAGGGTGACTAATTAGTTTTTGGATTAAATATTTTAAAAGTATTAAAGGTTCATTCATGCAGCATCAAAACTTTCACCCTGCATGACTGATTTAACCCACTGGAACACAAAGGGCAGATCTTTCCTCTAGCTTCCATGGTCTGTTTATTTCAACTGTTCCTTTCCGTATGACTTGGCAAAAACATTTCTGTTCATTCCCTACATGTGTACTTCCTTTCAGTGTGCAGTGTAAAACGGGAAGTGCCTTAATAAGCTCAGACTTCAAGTTCAGTGACCTTACGTGACCTTGCCTAGTCAAAGCATTCAGGATCGTTGCATAATGAGAATTGCCTTTTATATTAATAGGAGGGAAAGGGACGTTTTGAAACAATAAGTATCTGTTCTCTCACTGTCCAACATTAAAAGAGTCCAACTGTGCTGCTATCTTTCTCAAAGACACAATCACACTTCAAAGTGCTACGCTCACAAGTATGAAGCGTTCTAGCAGTTACGTTCAGACTGTATTTGCACACAGCGGGAGGCTGTAAAGGAGTGTGTGGAGGTCATGAGAAAGCCACAACCCTCCAGATGGGTGTGTGGGTATTAAAGAGAGGCCCAGTGCTTTATGATATGAATGGACTGTGTGAAGGAAGATAAGAAGAGGGAGAGAATGCCACTAAATGAATGTAGAAACCTGCTTCAGAGAGCTTCAAGTCAACATTAGGAGACAAATATGTCTACACACACAGATAACACTTCAAAATCGGTTGAGATATCCAGATATCCCCCCATGAACCATGAGACGAGGCCTTGCTTAAAAGCAGTGATGTCCCACGTGACAGTAATCCATTTATTTTGCATCTTTGTGCTTTTTCTTTCCATCTTTCTCATAAAAACATGGAGCAGGGACCGCCGCCCCAATACAAAATGTGTCAAACAGATCTACATATTATTATAGCCTTCAACATTAATAGAAACCAACCACATTATGATAGTTATATTATGTTAAGACCGTAAATTAGAACTATGCACGTTATTGTTGTTGCAGATGCATCATTGTCTGTATATTACTTTTCATTGTTAAAATTTTGATTTATGCAAGCATTAATTGGTAGACCCCATAGGAGTCGTGGACCCCTGGTTGAAGACCCTTGATTTTAAATGTTTAAATCTATCAGTCAACAAACTTTGCATTGTCATTCAGTTTGTGACTTGTTTCCTGGCAGCTCGGCATGAGAATCAACATTCATTTTTCTAGCATAATACATTGTTTCCTGCGATTGTGATTCCAGAGTAAATGTTTATGGCACATTAAAATGTCTGTATATAACTCACTTGCTTTGCAGTGCAAAAATGACCCTAGATAGGTAAATCTGTCTTGGATTTCATTTACCTCATAACCCTTTGACTGATTGTGTCCCAAATGCCATTTCATTTCCACTTAGTAATTAAGATGAAGATCAAATGGGTGAATGTTCAAATACTATTGAAAGTGCTTTCTTTTTCAGATCACCATTCAGAGAGACAGTGGCCTAGATGTCAGCTCCCCCAAACATGGCAAGATTGACCCCAAAAACGCCCCTCATGTAGGGGGGAACCAGTGGGCTGGAGGCACAGGTACAGTCACATCCCATCAAAGGTGAAACACAAAACTTGTCCAGTCATATTTATAAACCCTACAACAAAACCTGTCCCTATAACGTATAATTAATTACATATAATCACAGCTGTAATTACATGCAGGTATTTTTAAATACAAGTACAATGTAAAAACTTGTATGTGCAGCATAAGTGCATTGTATCAAATGTTTAATTTAAATGTTAGTATATAGTAGTTAAATACTTTATTTTGACCAATTTATAAGAAAGAAATTCATTGTAACATTTTCATAGTGCAATAAAATCTCATTACTGCAATGCGATTAAAATTATACATTGCTTGCATGTTTTCACATTTATTTATATAGTGGTTTATACAGTAAAAAACCAGATTGTTTCGAAGCAATTCACAGTAATGAAAAAGGAATATTAATAGTAATAAATCAGGAAAATAACTGTTGAAGTTGTAAAATTCATCAGTTATGAAACAAATTCTTTTTAAGCTATAAACAGGCTCCGCAAAAGCTAATAGTGTCATTATTCAGCTCAGTTTAGTTCAATAACTGTCAATGTTGCTGTTCATCAATAATGAAACTAGTTCAATTTGGCTAAGCTGCTGTAAAGAAGATAGTTGTGTCATTATTCAGCTCAAGTCAGTGCAATGTTAATTCAATTCAGCTCAAAAACTGTGCCATTATCCAGCTCAAATGAGTTCATATTGTCACATTTTCACTAATATTACTAAAACATATTTTAAACCGCAACTGAGCACTCCAAAGGCGAAAGTGGCAAGGAAAGAAAACTCCATATTTATACATCAGGTAAAGATTTGCTGTACTGCATTTCACTTATGCATATTCAAAATTCGATTTACTGTTATACTGTAGAATTTAACTTTACCATAATAAATACAATCTAATGAGAATCACCATTTACCTAAAAAATCATAATAAATAGGGCCTAATGACTATGTTTTATTTTTCATGTTTTCTTGAAATGCGCCCATAAATCCATCTCTAACTTTAAAGCAAGCTCTCTAAATAAAAGTTTGAGAGGAGATGGACTTCGTTTAAATGAACCTTTATTTTTTAAATATCCAGTTATTATGCAAGGCTTATCAATCACCTACGTGGTAACTCAACAAATTGCCTGTATGTTGGTGTAGGTGGCAGAGATACAGCAGGTCTCGGAGGGAAGGGAGGACCCTACCGTCTGGACGCCGGACACAAAGTTCACCAGATCTCTCAGGCAGAGAAAGACGCTGTGCCAGACGAGGTGAAGAGAGCAGCACGCGAGATGGGGGAGAAGGCTTTTAAGCAGAGGTACACCCATCTGTCTCTCTCATTCATCACTCACTCAGTTCAAACACAGATTTCTCCAAAAAGCCTACACTTGACCCTGCGTGACCTTTACCCTCTGGCCTGAGTGCCTGTTAATCTCTCTAGATATTTTGCAGTGCTGTCTCAATGAAAGCAAGTATGTGTGTGAGGCTTCGTTTTATAAGCTACTGAGCTGCCTATGTATGCATTGCATATATCCTTTAACAAAATAACAATCCCATAATGCACTGCATTGAGGTCAGTAAAAAGAAAAAGTTCACACAAGGCAGGGTTATTATACTAAAACCATAAAAAAAAACATGTTACTTTACGTTAAACAAAAACAAAACGTAAGGTAACATTTTCAATTAGTTTAACTTGATGTATTAAATGCTACAACTAAAACTGAGATTTAAAAAAATGATAAAAAAATATATATATAGACATATATATAGACTTTTTTTTACTAAGAAAAAGAACAAATATTAAAAAAATACTTAACCATTAAAATTAAACCGGATATATATAAAAAAAACTATAAAACTACACTAGTATCTCATTTATGCTAAAATAACACTGATCCAAAATGGCAAACGAAGCAAGATGTCAATTATAAATATCCTTGTATTTAAAGTAAACATTAATTTCCGTTCATAACCCATTTTAATTTCATCACATGATGTATTTCTGTAAACATTGAGTGTAACAAAAAAGTCTGTCGACTTTATGCATTAAAGTGGCGTTAAATGCCAGAAAAGAGCCTGACTAAATGTGAGCTTGCTAAAACAATAGTTTTTGGCTTAAGATGGTTATCATGGTCCAATAAAGTCAAGTCAAGTCATCTTCATTTATATAGCGCTTAGGGAATTAAAGTAACAGAGATTGTTTTGGCTTTATAGCAGCTCTAGAATAAAGTTATTGTCCATCTAAAGTTTTGATTGATTCACTTCCGTCGCAACGATCATTAGTTATTAACTAACACGACACCGTTCTAACAGAAAACCCTTAATGTGATTCGGCCGCTCATTTGCACAAAACAGTACCTGGTGGCTCAAGAACCCAAACCATGAAATAGGTTCCAAGGTACAAGCCTTTGAAAAATGTATTTATCGCTTCCACGTAGCCATGTGAATCGGAATTATCCCGACAACGTTTTATCTGTACAGAGGTAAAGGGAAGGGAAGGAGGCCTTCACAGCGAAGAGACTAATTGACACTGACAATTGAGGACTGCGTTGTGGCCGTGTCCAGGCGCAGGTCCTTCATGCAGATCTGGATACGGCCTGGATCCGGCGGACTGCGGTAAACCTCGGGATAAACAGAGAGACTAATATTAGTGTAGACGCCATCCTTCTTATGATGTAATAAGTACATCAGGATTTATGGGAAGTGTTCCTGGTTTCCGGCTGATCTATGCAGCCTAACATTGAACTATAGAAGTCTATAATGTGTTATGTGTATGCTAGGTCAAAGAGATATGTTTTTAGTCTAGCTTTGAACTAACAGAGTGTGTCCGCTTGTATCAAAATGCAGCACTAAGATCGAGTAACACTAATAGAGAGATACAACCACGATCGGATAAGAGCAAATCATTTGTGACTCTGATGAGAGCTGTCTCAGTACTATAGTGCGGTCTAAATCCTGACTGAAAATCCTCGCAGATAGCATTTCTTTCTAAAAAGGAACATAGTTGTGAGGATAAACACATGGCCTGTGTGATGAAAGAAGAAAACGGAAGTCTTTTCAAAGGAAGAGCAAGTTATTAAGACTGAAGAAAACAAAGACAAGACATTTTTTCGTCTTTTCAAGACAAGTGTTTTTTCGCCTGTCTGCCTATGTAGAATGATGCAAATCAGTCAGTTATGCTATGTGGGGTGTAGAGAGTACTACGCTTTGGAACGGACAAGAAATACTAAAATGAGTGACTCATAAAAACCAGGACGTTCTAGATCACAGAATAGACACTATAGAGGTCTTCAAAGGGCCCAGTTATCTCAGATATGCACCCTGTGAATGCTGCGATTCATTAAGCTGTGTGTGCACGCACATGAAGCAAGTACAAGTGTTTCTCCATCAAGGAGGCCTCTGTTTGGGCCAATGGACTGCACAAAGCTCTTTTGCTCTTTTTTAAAGCTTAATAGATCTTAAAGGGGACATTTCACAGGATTTTTCTTGTTCTTTTAAAATTAAATGGCTTTACTAGAGTTACTCTGGTGTTGTGGTTGTCAGCTGTTTAGGCCACAGGACCCACATATTCCCATGGCCTTTCTTTCATGCATATCTTTCAAAGTCTTGCATCAGATAAACATTTAGAATTAAGTTTTTTGTTGTTATTGTTGTGTCTTTGACTACACACACTCTGCGACCCACTCAAAACGGGTCATGACCCACCAGTTTACTGCCAGACCACTCCAACACTGCTCTTATGTTCATAATGTCCACTTAATGTCCATTTATGGCGACTAAGCTGCAAGAAACATCACAACCATGAGCTCATTAACATAACCCTTGTTTGCGAATGCAAATTGTAAAATGTTCATTATTCTGAAAAAGGTACAGTATATGTTTGTGCGCCAAAATGATGTCATGAAGGAGCTGTCTTTTGTTTGTTGAGGGCATATTACAAAATACCAACACAGGGAAAACATGAATTGATTAGATTATAGCAATTAAAGCAATATTAATGATTTTCAAAATATATGCTCTTCTAAAATACTATGATAATATAAAATTTGTCGTCTTTACTTTCTTCTGTAACACTGGCCACATATACACTGTAAAGTTTCAGGAGTGACAACCGCATTTAAATGCAGGAGTGAGTCCCTTAGATTATCGTTCCATGTGTGTAAGGAACACACATCACTCCCGGAATTGGTTTGATTGACACTGCTACTTTCTGGCGTCTCGCGTGTTTGGTATCCGCTATTCTGACCAAAGTAATATTAAAGTGACAAAAGACTCGTTGTGTTCAGCAATTTTAACTAAAATTGACGTTTTTTATAGTGCCTCAGAGATGTATCTATCATCATATATCTTTCGTTGTACAGTACGTCATAACAACTAGTTGTTCTGTTCGGTTCCGTACACACTTCATAGAATTTTAGAATTTGGTTTTCACTCCCGTAAATTACTGAACTCTGTGTACAGAATAGGATTAAACACTAAAAGGTGAATTGACAACAGAATTTAGCTGCAGTCAAGTCACATTTATTTATATAGCGCTTTTTACAATACAGATTGTTTCAAAGCAGCTTTACAGAGATAACAGGAAAATAATGCAACAAAGTTTGTTTCCGGAAGAAAATAGTGTGTTTGTGGCCACTGTAGCTGTTGCTCTCTTGAATTCTTTTACTCACAGATGGGTTTTTTCCCCCTTTGTGTTTCAAATTGTCGTATCTACATGCTGTCTGTCACGTTCACAATATTTTATTCTCAGTTGTCAGGAGTTTCCACAGGAAGTGGGACTTTATCTACCTTTTTTGCAAGTGTATGTGACACTCCGACAACCACCATCAAATCTTTCGATTTTGATGTTTTCGGTTTTCGATTCTATGATGCAGGAAAAGCTGAATTAGTCATTAATATACCTCTAGTAGAGCTGTAACCCTTCATACAGTTGTTTCAGCATCTATTTAAAATCCCACCGATGTCAAGTCAAGTCATCTTCATTTATATAGCGCTTTTAACAATGTAGATTGTTCCAAAGCTGCTTTACAGTGATAATAGGAAATTAAAGTAACAGAGATTGTTTTGGCTTCATGACAGCTCTAGAATAAAGTTATTTTCCAGCTAAAGTTAGAATTAATTGATTCACTTCCATCGCAACGATCATTAGTTATTAACTTAAGGGCCGCTGACACGACACCGTTTTAACAGAAAACTCTTAAGTTCTCTCTATGCAAACTTTAAAAACGCGAACCTATGAGAACGCTGATGGCGTGCATGATGTGTTTTTAGTCTAGCTTTGAACTGACAGAGTGTGTCTGCTTCCCGGACAATGTTTGGAAGACTCTTCCAAAGTTTTGGTGCTAAATAGGAAAAGGATCTACCGCCAGCAGTCGATTTTGATATTCTAGGTATTTTCAACTGGCCGGAATTTTGAGATCGCAATAGACGTGAAGGACTATAATGCGTTAAGAGCTCGCTCAAGTACTGGGGAGCTAAACCATTTAGTGCTTTCTAAGTAATTAGCAATATTTTTTAAATTTATACGATGTTTAATAGGGAGCCAATGCAGTGTTGACAGAACCGGGCTAATATGGTCATACTTCCGGGTTCTGGTAAGAACTCGAACTGCTGCGTTTTGGACCAGCTATAATTTGTTTATTAAGCGTGCAGGGCAACCTCCCAGTAGAGCATTACAATAATCTAGCCTTGAGGTCATAAACGCATGAACTAATTGTTCCGCATTCGTCAATGAGAGCATATGACGTAATTTAGATATATTTTTAAGATGGAAAAATGCAGTTTTACAGATACTAATTCACATGATTTTCAAATGAAAGATTGGTATCAAAGAGCACACCCAGGTTCCTAACCGACGACGAAGACTTGACAGAGCAGCCATCAAGTGTTAGACAGTATTCTAGGTTATTACATGAGGAAGTTTTTTGTCCAATAATTAGAATCTCTGTTTTTTCAGAATTAAGTTGTAGGAAATTACTAGTCATCCTGTTTTTTATATTAGCTATGCATTACGTTAATTTTGTGAATTGGTAAGTTTCTTCAGGGTGTGAAAAAATATACAGCTGAGTATCATCGGCATAACAGTGAAAACTAATGCCATGTTCCCTAATGATATCTCCTAAGGGTAGCATGTACAGAGTGAACAGCAACGGTCCTAGTACTAAGCCTTGTGGTACGCCATACTGAACTTTTGATTGATATGACATCTCTTCGTTTACTGCTACAAACTGATAACAGTCAGATAAGTATGATTTTAACCATGCTAATGCAATTCCACTAATGCCAACATAATTTTCGAGTCTATTTAAAAGAATGTTGTGGTCAATAGTATCAAATGCAGCACTAAGATCGAGTAACACCAATAGCGAGATACAACCACGATCGGATGATAAGAGCAAATCATTTGTGACTGATGAGAGCTGTCTCAGTGATGGTACGGTCTAAATCCGAACTGAAAATCCTCGCAGATATCATTTGTGATGAAACACAACAATTTTTTAATTAATTAAACATTTGGTCAGTTATTGATTTAAAATGTTATTATTTGAATAAATTATAATTTAGGGAAAGCTGTAGCTTTGAATATTAAAGATTTTTAAATGCTTTTGAAAGGGGTCTCTTATGTTCACGAATGCTTCAATTATTTGACTTGCTTCTATGACTTGCTGCACTTGCTTCTATATATTCTCTGCACTTTTTCACTCTCATGTGCTCCTTCCCACTGCTGTTGCATGGCCACGCTGGCCACCTCACTCTCCGGTCTGTGGACAGGTTTGGAATTCAGGAGAAAATAGCAGCAGTCTGTCCTCCCTCCAATAACACTGCGCAAAGAATGTGAGCTTCATAGGCCAGACAGGAAACCCACAGTGTGTGTGTGTGTGTGTGTGTGTGTGAGAGAGGAGCTAAGCAGGAAGAAGGACAGCGATAATACCACGAGCAAGAAGAGAGCACTCCTTACATGTTACATTTATCTTTTGTAGCACAGGAAGAATTTAGCAGCACTTTTGTGGCTTTTCCAGATATTTTTGGTCCAGGTGGTGATGGAGAGGTGAGGGATCGTTTCTTTTGAAAAGAATCACGGTGTCACAGTATTTTGAGATCACAGTGTCTGGTCTGATCTCACGTCTGATAGTGAGCGCACCTGAGGTCTGTGGGCCGCTACGGTCTAGACACACTTCACACTCTGTTTCCCCCTCATGACATCAAACACCTCTCACACGCACATGCACACACACTCATGCAGGCCCGTCCTGGACCTGAGCTGAAGAGTAGGATTAACTGTAGAATCTGTTTAGGGATTATTGGCTTCACACCACCTGTGTGACAGAAACAGCTCTGCTGAGGCCTGTCCATCAAGTGACTTGGGGAACCTCACAGATCCTGTCAAGAACATGGTGCAGGTCATATTTCAACAAATATATACTGTATAAATATGACACAGCAACACTAGCTTAACCAATGCCATCAGTTTTGCCAAGTTCTGACTGGGGGATTGTTCAGGAAACAATATAATATAATATAATATTAATTAAAAAAAATTATATTAAATTTGCAGTTCTGTTAGGATTGTTAGACAAATGAACAACAAATGTTAGGATTTCTGCATTTTTATAACAATTAAGTACAACCCCTCCTAATTATCATTATTTTATTGCAAAAAGGTCATTAAAAAAACAAAAATGTATATACAATTATTATACAACTGCTAAACTTACATTATATTTTATTAAAATTGAATTATGCATCATAATTGTAGAGTGGTGCATGGATGACATTTTTTTAGGCCAAAATCTGGAAACGAGTTAGCATTTTAGCACTTCTGGTTCCATCACCCTGAAGTCAATACATTTTTTCAATATTTTCACATTTTATTCTACAATATAAAATACATCAGTAATACCCTCTTGTGATTTTTTTTAAAGATTTTACTTATCTTGTAAAAGGTGGTTACTAACAAGTGGTTAAATGGGACTGTAGAGGTTGTCGAGGACATTAAACGTCATCAGCCGAACAGATAAACTCATCTACTCATCTACGCTTTCACAGCCTCCTTCTGTTTATAACCGCGCTCTTGCAAACTTTTATAACTTTCAGATAAAATGTTTTTAAACAAAGACTGAAGGAGTTGTCAGAAACTTAGTGATGGTGACGTTGAAGTCATGTGACCGTGTTCGTTTACATCCTACGTTTAGCTTTTGACTTCTGCTGATTGTATTTATGCTTCAAAATTCATGAAAGTTGAGTATCATGATGAACAAAACGTGTATGAATCATGCTTTTGTTAGTCACAGACCTTGCAATAATCCAAAAGCCAATGGAAAAATCCTATTGGATATTTGTCGAGGGAACCATGGTGATGCTAACTTCCAGGTTGGCCTACAAAAATACATCACTACTGCAGTACTCTATTGCTTTTCATTTATACAGATTTAAAAAAAAAACTAAAGTATTACAGTATTTTTCCAACAATCGACTGAAAATTACCATTAAGAATAATGGGAATTACCACAAAAAAAAAAAAACCTTTAAAGTAAAATCACCAGGCGCATTATAGTAATGAGAAATCAGAAAGGAAACATGCTTTATTGTCCTAAAAAATCTCAGAATGCCAAAAATCTTAAGGGTTCTTATAATATAAGCCAGTGTTTTCAACCAGAGGGACAAGGCCAACTAAGGGGACTCAGACATCTTCCAATGGGGGCCACAGGATGACTTAAAAGTAGTTAAATTAGTAAATTATTATAAAAAATAATTTGATGCAAAAAATAAAATGCAAAAAAAACCACATTTTAATAATATTTCCTTTTATTTTTCCTCAATAACAAGCAGTTTTTACATTAATATTGGTATTATCTTAACCTATATGGGGTAATCCTTCAAAGATTGTGATGGACATTTGGAGGCTTTCAGGTCGAAAAGACCTTAAAGCCTTTTCTTTTCTTTTTCTTTTTTTTTGGTGTGTGTGTGTGAAACGTGAGCTGGACATGTTTTGGTGACATTGACGCAGCAATCACCGTGGGTGACTCTTGCCCTGTCAGAGCTCCAGCCTGCATCCCTCTTACACCCACACTGTTGAGGCTGGCTGGGCTTTGTGCACCTGGGTGTTGCATGTGTGTGGGTGCTGGTCATGGAGCTGTAGGGACTTGCCCCAAGAGAAATGTTTATCCTACACCTCCTACTCTCAAGTGTGCACTATTCTTTATCTTGACAGCTGTACTTAATGTGTGACTAAACAGATCAATGTTCTCTAAAATCCTTCTGCCCCAGAACACTCTTTTAAGACGTGCTAGACATTGTTTACAAGTTTAGACTTCTCAGGGCAAGAATGTCAATGAAGACAAATTGTTATGTTAAGTAGTTCTTTCTTACCTGTACAAAACTCTCCACCAAGATGCTTGAAGGTTACAAATGTGAAGTTTCTAAGGCGGTTGATAAGTGGTTGCTTACACTCAGTTTTGAAGAATTATTTATGTCTGTAGCACAAACAGCTTGGGACGAGTCTCACATGAGCTGTAATAATGTTGGTGCTTTAGTCTGTACTCATACTTCAGTAATTGTAAACACTGCAGAGTGTGTGTCTAATGTGTTGTGTTTTTGTTACAGGCTCAAGGAAATTGAGATGAGTGAGTATGATGCCACCACTTACGACCGTTTCTCTGGAGCGGTCCGACGACAGGTCCAGTCGCTCCGCATCATTCTGGACAGTCTGCAGGTAAACACCTCTAGTAGTCCCAGTCCAGGTGTGAGTGGGCTGAAGACATACTGGTTTCTTCCCTGTGCATGGGCTGTAGTGACTGGTCCAGGGGTTCCCAAACTTTTTCATGTTACGACTCTCTTAGAAAGGTTTTAATTTATCTCGAGACACATCACAGACTTTTTAGAGAAATAATGAGAAAACTTACTCAAGATGAGAGTGACTTTCGGGAGCCACAACCAATAGGAGTGAAGTCAGTGGAGCGCATGTGATCCGTCACTACATCCTGTGGTGGAGTGAACCCAGATAGACTGGCACTTGTGCTTTCGCCGCAGGGAAATAGCTGCGATGGGAAATAGCACTCACTGTTCATCTTTAATATTAAAGTCCCTGTAAAGGCAATTTTAACAAAACATTCTAAACACATTCTAAAGGTTAGAAATGTATTGCTAAAACATATTACAAAGACTGTGAACTGTGAAGTACTGAATTGTGGAGTTAGACCGTTAAACAGTTTTTCACCCTGGCAATTTCACGGATTTTTTGGGCGGGTCTAAAACAGGGCTCGATGACGCACTGGAGCTCTTGGACACGCCCCTACTCGATGACGCACTGATACTGATCCCTCTAACAATATAAATAGAGCACATTCGCATCAGTTTGGCGCTCATTTGCGAGTTACTGTCAGTACTATTATCAGTTACTACAGCCTACAGTTTGCTATCTAGCCATGCCTTCGTCACGGAAATGCGTACTACTTGGATGCAATCATTTGCAAAACAGATCGGTGTCCTTGTTTAAATTTCCTAAAAACGACGACATCAAGAAGAGGTGGATTAATTTTGTGAAGAGCCACCTTGATGGAGAGCTGAGGATCACCAGCCAAACCCGCCTCTGTAGTGATCATTTTACTCGTGATAGTTTTATAAACTTTCGTCGGAGACAACTGGGATTCACAGATAATCCGTTGTTACTGGTGAAAGGTGCCGCACCGACTATCTCTCGCCTCGGCCTTCATCCTCCCGTCCCGCCGACAACTGGCGCCATCATCGGCAATGCGTGCCCACCAATGAGTGTAAGTTGCCTTGTGTGCTTGTTATAATTATAGTAGGTAGTCCACTGTAACTACTAAATTCTGCAACCCTCTAACGTGATTTTTATTTAACGTTATATGATCAAAATTCCTTAGCCAAGTAATTTAAACTAGTATCTGTTCACAAAGCAGTCCCTTATCTAATGGATTTATGCACATCAATTTATCGTTAATATAACAACCATGATGGCTATTAGTTTGATCTATAACTATAAAGTGTAAATATATTTTTTAATCAGTTGTTTATTGCTAGTCTAACTTAGTTTGATCTATAACTATAAGGTGTAAAAATATGTTGTTTTTTTCTGTTATTTATTGCTAGTCTAACTTTATTTGTCTAAGTTAGGTTAAGCTAGTTAACGTTTACTTACATATAACTTAGCTAACTTGCATAAAAGGGAGAGAAAAAATTTACCATTCTGTTGCAGAGCGAGGGGGACGATGTTGACTTCCTTGGTCAATGTCTTCTGAATCGGATTCAGGCTCTGGAGGCTCAAACAAATATGGCTTGGTATAACCTAATAAGCTGCTAGGAGCATCCATTTCGGCTGTAGCGGGTCCCGTCGAGTGCAGCTTTCCCGCGAGTGGGCGTGGTTTCAGCGCAGCCAGCGGACACGCCCCCAGCGTTTGAGAGCAGAGAAAACTGCTCATTTTTTCAAGATTTTGATAGCTTATTTTATGTACTTGCCGGCTTTTTTTATCATTCAAATTTGGCTGGGTGGCTAATAACACATTTTTCTGTGGTGTGACAAACTCAGAACACATACTTAATTTTGACTTTACGGGGACTTTAAGCATTTTATGTACTGATTCCACTTAAATTTAGTCTTTCCTTCCAAAATGTTTGTTTTCAGCAGCAAGAAAACTGATTCGGTGTCTACAACATGGAATAACATCCGTAAAAATGCCACCGAAGGCATGCAGTGACAAAGTCAGCTTGTCAGATTTGTTCAGCTCATTCAGCAAAAGATTTAGTAGATGCCAAATCTTCTAAAAGGACCATCTCATAAGAGTCATTTATTTGTGAATCGGACTACATAGTTCGAAATGTTGCATGTTTTTTCCCGCAAGGAGCGCCACCTCTGAAAAGTGGTGCAGGAAACAATGCTGTGATCTGTGTCATGTCAAAAATATATAAATACAAATTAGGCTATTTATATTTTAATATTCACATTTTTTTATATCTTTTTGACATGGCATAAACATACCGCCATTGCGTAACCCACATTGTTATTCCCACTCTGCAGATTGAAAACGGCTGATCTTCGATTGCTCTTCGATGTCTGTACAAAAAAAAGTTTGAAGATTAACTTACATGAGGTTAAAATAGCTATTTTCTGGATTACTAGCCAATTAGTTGCAGTGAGTATTCGTGCAAGCTCTAGTTTGCACGTGCACACGCACGTAACCACACCTACAGTTTTTCAGCCAACTCACGAGAGGGCCATCCTGTGAGTCCAAAAGAACATGCGTTGTTATTATTATTAGATTGGTCTGTCGATATGGACCCAGGCGCTCGTCATTCTGTATGGAAGGATGTCCGGTAGCGCGTCTGATCTTTTTTGTTTGGGTGTGGGTGGACGGAGCGCTAGAACCCGGGTGGAGTTTCTCAGAAAATGCTGATTGAAGACCAGCTAGTTTCGCTGTCTACATTCAACTAAACAAGCAGCGGCTCGGTCTGATCTGAGATCTGTATCTGCTCATGGGGATTCCCTGTGCTGTGTGAACGAAGGACCGGCTCCAGCCCACAGGGAGGATCAGGTTCCTCTTTGGCAGCCCGTGCGAGGAGCTCTGCTCAAAGACAGATGTGTTTATGTGAAAACATGGTGACAAGGATTATCTCCGTCTGTCTTTCACAGTCCGGTCCTCTAAATCAGCGCTATCTGCTTTCACCTACAATAGCGTTGTGAAGAAGGCTGGCAGCCACAGTGGCATGTGTGTGGTCCAGATGAGCGCACTGGCATCATTCTGTACTAGTCCTGTCCTGAGAAGAAGTTAACCTCCACGTCACCCTGAGCCTCTGTTCTCCGCTTGGGATCTTTCCAGATAGTAATTTGACCACTGCCTATTCATTTGCTCCTGTAAAAATGGCGACACATACACTAACTGTCAGAAGTTTGGAAACATCTAATCTTTCTTTGCTATTTTTCCAAGATTTTGAGAATAATAATAATAATATTACGAGCACAAGTTCTTTTCTATCCAGTTTCCAACTCCGAAAATAATAATAAAATAAAATAAAATAATAGACAGGTACATTTCTACCCACTCCAATTAAAATGTATTTTAGGAGGACTTTTTTGAACTCTTTTGAGGGTCACATGTTTGCTGGACACATATTGACTGCTAAACTAAATTAAATTAATATATAAATACATTTACAGATACATTTTTACCGTTTTTAAGATCATGAGAAACAAATAAAGTTTATCTGAACTTCTGAATGTTGTATTGGTGAACGCTTCAAAGGAATGTGGTATATGAGAGCTGTAAAAAGAGAGCAAAACAGCAAATTTGGGCCCTTGCCTTTACTCTGTAATCACTCCTCATATGATTTTCCACAACTGACTCTCCCAAACATGTTGAACACATGCTCATTCTCACACCTACCTGACAGAGAAGTGTTCACAGCAGGTTGTCCTGTAGTTTGTGGTATATACACTCATTTATTCTCAGGACTCTGACCACATGCTCTATGAGCCTGTTATAGTAGCTTGAGGACATTTATTAATGGTGTTTGCAAAAGCAAACATTCCTATATTGCATATACTTAGGGTTAGGTGTTTTTCAAAACCTTTTATAAATAACATAAAAAAGTGTTTTAGTTGAAATCCCCCTGTAGTCAATCATTTTATCCATTCAATCCCATCTTTGATCACCAAAAAGGCATATTTAAACGATTTTCCTGTGGAAGAAAATAATTCATGCCTTAAAATAGCTTGAATCTAACTCTACACCCTTGCTTCATTTAGTATACGTGGAGTCATGAATATGCAAATTTGCCCCGCCTCCACTCACTCATACAGGCTCGTCTACAAGTGGATGTATCAGAATGGTAATGCGTTTTATGTATCGCTTTCTACAACGTCGGACACATAGCGGTAATTAATATGATTAGCCTTTTGCTTGACTACGTTATCAAACCGCTAATAATGTTACACAAACCATGTTCCCGTTCACCATCTCAGAGTCAGACATCTTGGACAGATGCCTTCTGCATTCTTAGAAATGCTTTAACAACTCAGAACGTCAGTAGAGAAAGGCATATAGTTTATCATAACATTGTACACTGAACAAAATTATAAACGCAACACTTTTGTTTTTTGCCCCTATTTTTCATGAGCTGAACTCAAAGATCTAAGACTTTTCATATAAAGGCCTATTTCTCTCAAATATTGTTCACAAATCTGTCTAAATTTGTTTTAGTGAGCACTTCTTCTTTGCCGAGCTAATCCATCCACCTCACAGGTGTGGCATATCAAGATGCTGATTAGACAGCATGATTATTGCACAGGTGTGCCTTAGGCTGGCCACAATAAAAGGCCACTCTAAAATGTGCAGTTTTACTGTATTGGGGGATAATATTAAATATTCCGGGATAATCTGGCTTCTCTTGAGACTCCGCTACACTGTTAAATCCAATCTTTAGCATGTGTCATAATTAATATACATTTTTCATGATGTACACTATAATGCCTAAATAATGCCTAAAATGTTATATTGATGTTAGTGTATTATTTGTTATTTATTTTGACAAAATAGTATAGAATTTTAATAACAACCATTTTATGGTTATCGGTCATAGCATATGTATAATTATTTCCAAACTGGGGTTTGCGAACCACTGGGCGTTCATGGAGAAACTGCAGGACTCAGGAGTTTTGTGAATTGTTGAAATGCTAATCATTTATTAAATAATAAAAATGTGATAATTAATAATAAAAACAATCAATATAAAAACTTACTTAAAATATGACATTTTTATTTGTTTACCTGGTGCTGCTTGTTGCTGCTGCTGCTGTTGTTAAATTATTCAATTATTAACTTAAAGTCTGATACTTCAAGTGAATTTTTTAGGTCTATAGGGTTCGGCTGACAAAAAAGTTTGGGAATCCCTGCCGTAAATAAAAGCATAGTGTGTGTTGTGGGCAGGTTGTGTTGTAACAAAGTCAGTTCTGTCATTTTCAGGTCTGAAGTCAGTGGAATTACTGCAGCATTTGTGTGGAAATGGAGCATTAGAGCTCTTTTTCACACAGACTTGAGATATGACACAGAATAGAGCAGATGATCTCATCCATTCAGTAAATCCCTGGAGTGCCGTCATCCTCTGGGCTGTTTCTTCAGCTCATGACTCTTTATTACAGTGTAACTTCTGTCACACTTCTGTCTGAAACTCTCGCAAGAGCGTATGTGATGCATTCATTATTACCTAACAATAATGGGTGAGGTGTGTGTGTCTGTTAATGTGGCTACTTGAGTGTACTTGCATGTCTGTCTTTGTACGTGCTTGTGTTCACGTGTGTGTGGAGTGATGAGTAGTGATGTGTTGGGTCATTGTTCTTCGTGGAGATCTGACATGCTCGCTCATATAATGAGAGCCACATGTGGAAGTGCTTCTATGGGTGTTTGTTGATGTTTGATCCATGTTTGAAGCAGAGGAGGTCAAGGACCCGCTGGGGGTCAAGGTCACGAATGAGATGCAGTATGCAACTTCCTTAATTGTTTTTATCTTCATTTAAAGTGTAAAGCTTGGGCTGAACCTCTCAAAATTTTGTTAGATGTCTGCTTATAACCAGAAGACTATTTGAGTTCGATTTATTTGAAAGATGTAAATGGTGTTTGTGTTTCAGGCTAAAGGGAAGGAGAGGCAGTGGCTGAGGAATCAGGCTCTGGGCGAGCTGGACGATGCTAAGATCATTGACGGCCTAACAGGAGAGAAGGCCATTTACAAACGCAGAGGAGAGCTGGAGCCAGAGGTGAGAGCTCACATTCACTAAACAATAGTGGCAAACGCCTACAGGGCTTTAACTGCTCAAACAAACACATATCAATACAAATTCACAAAGTTATTTAAAGGGATACTTCACCTCTGGAAAGATGAATGTGTATTTAAAATGGGTCATTTATGTAGAAGAAATGTGAAATTATTTTTGAATTTGGAGCTTTCTAGACTGAGAAAAGCCAGAAAATGTATTTTTGGCTTATGTGGATGAAAGACAACAACTCCCAGAATGCACTTGCTTCACTGCCCTAGGAGGCCACGCCTACCGGTAATAGAGCGCAGTAGTTAAACAACAAGTCTAGGCTACTAGTGAGTCTCCGTGATGAGTCTGCCCGGGATTTCGAGATCGCCCAAAATGTCCGGGATTCGGCTTTTGCGTTCTACAGTCGCCATTCATTATGTTTACTGTGGCGAGCAGGACGAGTGAGGGCCGCGGGAGAACGGCGCGAGGCCGGTGGCGTGATTACCGATGAGCGAGACCTGTGAGACGCACCGGTCTCGTATCTCTCACGGAGGAGCGGGAATTTTCTTAGCAATGTTAAAACGCACATCAACCGATCACTTGTTTAGCGTTCATGTAAACACTACATTCAGATTCACCAATCGGAATGAATTCAGTTAGATTGAAACAAAAGGTGTGCATGTAAACAATGAATGGCGACTGCAGAAAGCAAAAGCTGAATCCCGGACATCGACGGCCGGACATGTCCGGGAAAAAGAGGATGGTAACCCCTACTACTCGGCTTTCTCCACAGAACAAGAGCCTGCTAGCTTAGCTTCCAAAAAAAGATGGCTGACACTATGTGTGTATTCTGTGAGTGAGATCCCACCCTCTATGGGCGGGTTGAGAACATGCGGGACAGCCCCTACTACTGACTGTAGTCTTTAGCCTCTGGCCAAAAAATCCTCTGATGACGCAAAATGACGATTTTTGCGTCATCGGAGGATTTTTTCCAGACAAAAAATACATAAATCTCTCGTCTCAGGGGGATATGAGGGTGGAAAGCATGGTAATTCGAAAATACTACAGGTTTCCTACTAATACAAAGCTTAATGCTAAATCCTGAAGTATCCCTTTAAGCAAATAACTACTTATATTTTGGTCTGTTTCTAACATATATCTTGTGGTCAGCATGATATGTAAATTCACCCTATCTATTTTCTTTTCTTTTTTTAAATTGACCTTGTAATTTAAAAGCTCTGATATACTCTCAGTGCAGTTCTTTTTTGTTCTCTTCTTAAAAATAAAAAGAAGTTTGAAATACCTTTTCAGCGGTATACTGTTAGCGAACATTTAGCGGCATTTAATGAATATGCAAATACTGTATGTGCCACGCGGTTTCCTCTAATTAACAAAATAAACACACAATAAAATAGATTGCTTTACTGCAAGCAGCTTTACATGATTAAGGGCCTTTAAGTAAATAAATAATATCTGAATTTAGTTTTTTAGGCAAACTATAACTTAAAGATGTAGCATTCTTGTTAGATTTCTTGATGTTTGACTAAAACTTTTCTTCCTATTCATAATGTTTCTTCTACTGGTATCGCTGAATTCCAGTTTAGCAGACACTCACAGCAAGAAGGTCACACTGTTTCCCATAAGCGCATATTTAAAATCTGAATTTATTGTAATAACGTTACTGAGTTCTTACAGTGGTGCCTTAATATATTATGTGGCTCCTGTATAATCCATTAAAAACCTCATTGACCAATGAGGCTTTCAGAAGAGGAGTCTGGGCAAACAGAACGCTGCAATTAAAGAAACCACATATAACTGCATTAAATAATTTTCCTAATTAAATATCTGTCTGGTCATTTGAGGATGACTAGTGTGTTTTTCCTTTGGTCTGGCTGCAGTTGGGGTCTCCTCAGCAGAAGCCGAAGCGTTTGCGTCTGCTAGCGGACGTCTCTGGCAGCATGTATCGCTTTAATGGCGTCGACGGGCGTCTGGAGCGCTCCATGGAGGCCGTGTGTATGGTGATGGAGGCTCTGGAGAGCTACGAGCACAAGTTTAAGGTGAGATTTGACAATCACCCATCCGCTTTGTGTAGGCACTGGCAGCATTTTAACACTGTAAGTAGGCAGCATAAGTTTCCTTCTTTTGACCAAATTCTTAGGTACCATCACAATCACATCACCATCACATCGCAAATCCATAATGCATTTTTCAAACTTGTAGGAAAGAAAAGAAAACCTCCAAGATGGCTGACAAAGCAGTGATTATAAAATTAAACTACCGTTCAAAAGTTTGAGGTCGCTAATATTTTTTAATGTTTGGGAAAGAAGTCTCTTATGCTCACCAAGGCTGCATTTATTTGATCAAAAATGCAATTACATAATATAACATAACATTAAATATTGTGAAGTAATATTGTGAATATATATTAAAATTCAAAAACAGTTTTTTATTGTAATATATTTTAAAATGCACTTTATTCCAGTGATGTTAAAGCTGTGTTTTCAGCATCATTACTCCAGTCTTTAGTGTCACATGATCCTTCAGAAATCATTCTAATATGCTGATTTGATGCTCAAGAAACATTTTTTTAATTGTCAATGTTGAAAACAGATGTGCTGCTTAATGTTTTTATGGAAACCATAATACATTTTTTTCAGGATTCTTAAATGAATAAAAAGTTCAAAAGAACAGTATTTAATTGAAATAGAAATCATATGTGACATTATAAATGTCTATACAGTGATCAATTTAATGCATATTTGATGAATAAAAGTATTCATTTCTTTTCTTTTTCTTTTTAAATCTTACAGACCCTAAATGTTTGAATGGTTGTTCATTCAATACTAAATGGTTCAATCTAAATAAATAAAAAAATGAATCACTATTAATGAATTTGATTCATTAATAGTGGGGGGTTGGGGGGCTTAAAGGGATACTCCACCCAAAAATGAAAATTCTGTCATCATTTACTCACCCTCAAGTTGTTGCAAACTTGTATGAGTTTCTTTCTTCTGCTGAACACAAAGGAAGATATTTTGAAGAACGATTGGAACCAAACAGTTGTTTGGCACCTTTGACTTCCATAGTATTTTTTTTTCTAGACCAGTTTAAACTAACTAACACCAGTATAGATTAGTCATTTATAAGGTTCCATGTCAACTAGAATGCTGCCTATGTAGACAACAAGGTGGCTCACTGGATTTTGGGACAGTGCCTTTAATTTGAAGAGAGAAAAAAAAAAACCTTCCCTCTACTCAGTGAATCTTATTTTGCTGGCCATCTCCTGTTGGTATAAGTTGACCACAGAGTTCAAATATAGTCTCTACATGTATCTCAATCTTTTCACCACAAACACTTTCCTAACTCAATAAAAATAGCTAAATCTGTTTACAGTAAACCCCCTCTAGGCAACGCACCATGGAAACTGATCTGAGCAATAGGGATCTCCCCGCCGCACATGCTGACACACTGTTATGGAGGTTGCCATGGCAGTAAGGATGATCTAGGATCCCCAGAAACTGCCACATGCTCGGTTGCCATAGAGAAAGCCATGCTGGTTTAGGTTGATTGGTGGTTCGCAGCTCATCTCTCTCTTTCACTTGATGTTGCTCTTTTTCCTCTGTCCATCGCTCTGTCTCTGTTCATCTGAGCTGCTGGCAGATGTGAATCACGGCCCTTGTTGGGAGCTGCTCGCAGGTTTGTAGCGCCCGCACAAAAGATGATCTGTTATCTCCATCCCGGGGAGTTCGGGGGAAGACATGCAGCTGCGGGTGTCAATGCCTCACATTATCCCGTTCTGCTCTAATGTGCATTAACACTTTAAATGTGTGAGGTCAGATCTGAGGCTGGACCATATAAATATAGATAATATGTGAGATTTGAAAACACAGCTGGATATGGTGCACTAATTTGGTTGGATATGCAGCACTGAAACATTTCACAGTTTCTATCATTTAGGGCAGTACATTGCTTACGTATTGATATACAGCAATATATTTTAGTACTTTTTTGGCAATGTAAAGTTAACCTGTTGTGATGATTTTATCACACGTTTATTTTTTCATTAAGTTTAATAAAAACAAGTGCAAGTTGTGTATTTGGAATATAACAGCATTTGGACAGAGTTGTTTTAACTCTGATTTAGATCTCAGTTGCAAAAAAAACGCGCTGATAAATTCAGTTAATTGTTGTGAATCAGTTCTTTAGAATTGGCTGTATTAATGAATCTATTTAATAGTGATTCAACAATTTACTTGATCAAATATTGATTGAATATATTCCGTTTATTTGGCTGCAATGGTTGTGTGGTTGAAAAGGTTCAAGATACGCCAAAAATATCAAGATGCTCTACCGTTGAAAAGTTTGGGCTTGGTAAGGTTTAGTTTTTTATGTTTTTGAAAGAAGTCTCTTAAATTCACCAAGGCTGCATTTATTTGATCAAAATGGTAATATTACTACAATTTAAAATAACAATTCAATCATATGAATATATTTTACAAATGTTTTCCTGTAATGCAAAGCTGCATTTTCAACATCATTACTTCAGTCTTCAGTGTCACATGATCCTTCAGAAATCATTCTAATATGCTGATAATATTGCTGCTCAAGAAACATTTATTATTATTATCAATGTTGAAAACAGTTGTGCTGCTTAACATTTTTGTGGAAATCATGAAACTTTTTTTCAGGATTGTTTGATGAACAAAGTTCAAAAGCACAGCATTTATTTGAAACAGAAATCTTTTGTATCATTTTTACTGTCACTTCTTTATAGGACTTTATGGCCCCACCTTGGCTGTCAAACGAGCCGTTTGCTCATCCAGCTGGCATGTCATATATCTGTTCCTCTGTGACACTTACATAATCTGCTTTACATTAAAATGCACCTGATAACCCATCCACCTGTGATCTCAAGGCGGGTGTCACACATATTCTTCTTCTCATTTGTCCTTTAACCCTGCATGTTACACATCAGTGTGTGTCCCCTTAGTCTCACTTAGCCAAACCTTTGACAATCAGCATAGAGTCTGGTCCACATTTTCTGGCCAAGAACCTTATGTGGTAGACAGAGGAAAACCAGTACACTCTGACTCCCAGATAATGTGTGCCAGTCAAATCTGATCTGGTCATTTCAGCCAATATTCATCAGTGGGCATTGCTTGAAGCAGAGACTAGACGACCAGCCGAAAGTATACTGAAGATGTATTGACGTAATGGAATATGATGTATTTAAGACTGTCAGTGTCATCAACTGTTGCATTGTTGGCAAAGAACCTTGCTTCACTGGACTAGATTTTATTATGAGACTTCCTTTGATTGACTATTCATGAGTGTAACTCAAAATAGCATCATCTTTGTCAGTATAGCTGATTTACATCATCTTCTGTCTTTTTGTTTTGTATTACATTATTGAGGTGCACTTGTAAAAACCTTTTCTTGACGAGTGTTTATATTCAGCATTGTTTGTGTGCTTGTTATGTTCTTGGCAGCGTGGACTGACCCTTCTCCCCCTTCCTGTTTTTTTTCCTCTGTAGTATGATATTGTGGGACACTCCGGAGACAGTTTTGACATAGAACTGGTCAGATGTGACAAAGTGCCCAAGAACAACAAGGAGAGGCTGAAGGTTTTGAAGGTACAGTAATGCCTCTGTAATGCGGGTGTGACCTCATTTCCTTTTTTTGTTTTGAAATCTATGCTCTTATGAATTCACTTGTGCTGACGTAGTAGCCAGCGTTTCTCCTAGAATTCCTCCTATTGTCTTATGTGACCACATCAGGAAGAAAGTCGAGCATAAATTCTCAGACATGAGACTGCAGGGATGGTCACTGGGATTCACTGACGCACGACTGCAGCCGGATCGGGGCCTTCAAAAAAGAAACAATCGCCTTTATTTCCAAAGCAAAGTGCTACTAGTTATATTTCAGCCCCCTGGTGTTTTAAAACAGTTGTCTGATTACAGCTGTCACTGCAAAAGATCATTTCAACTATTGGCAAATTCACACTTTACCTTTAGACCTTTTTGTTCTCTGAAAACAATCTTATATTTTGAACGCGCTCAAGCTGAACAATAGTCTTTCAAAGTATACTCCGTTTTATAACGTGCAAAAACACAGGTAGTCGACACAGTTTCATCCTTGTCCAGTGTTTGCACTATTTCTCTCCACAAAATAATGACACAGGCCAAACTAATGAGTGCAACAAAAAGAAATTCAAAACGCATGTGCCATTGTGCAGTTAGAAAAATCAGGCTGTGCGCATACGATGCTGATGATGAAATTTACATCACGTACACTGTATGGAAGTGTACCTATGGAAGCTTGTTTCCGCCACAGAATGAAAAATAAAAAAGGTAATTGCGACTTTTCATCTCACAATTCAGACTTTTTTTCTCACAATTCGGACTTTAATCTCCGATTTGCGTGATATAAAGTCGCAATTGCGTGTTATAAAGTCAAAATTGCGTGATATAAAGTATTTTTTTTCTCAGAAAAAATAAAATTCTTGCATGTTTATATCTTGCAATTCTGACTTTATAACACGCAATTGGGAGATATAAAGTTCGAATTGTGAGATATAAACTATTTTAACTATTGAGATATAAACAATTTTTTCCCTTATAATTGGATTTTAACTCTAAGTTTATATCTTACTATTCTGAGAAAAGATGTCAGAAAAACTCGCAATTGTGTGTTATAAAGTCAGAGTCGCAATTATCTTTTAAAATATTTATTCTGTGCCGGAAACAAGCTTCAATACTTTCCCTATTGTACAAGTAAAAAACAAAGTATACTTTGGGCTGTTGGCATTAGGAAATCAAAAAAAAGAAATTGTATTTTTTGAAGCTGTACAGTGTTCTGTCCTGCCACCGTTTCATAATAAACCGTGTATATTTTTTTCACGTCTCTAATGTTGTTTTGCGCAATACTGTCAAGCGAACTAAAATCGAAAGCCTGTAATCCTGTTTTTTAAAGAAACTGCAGTTTTCCATCCAAATAAAAGCTTAAAGGGATACTCCACTTTTTTGGGAAATAGGCTAATTTTACAACTCCCCCAGAGTTAAAGTGTTGAGTTTTACCGTTTTTGAATCCATTCAGCCGATCTCCGGTTCTGGCGGTACCACTTTTAGCATAGCTTAGCATGCATCATTGAAGTGGACAAGACCATAAGCATTTCTAAAAAAAAAAATGACCAAAGAGTTTCGATATTTTTCCTATTTAAAACTTGACTCTTCTGTAGTTACATCGTGCACTAAGACCGACGGAAAATGTAAAGTTGCGATTTTCTAGGCTGATATGGCTAGGAACTATACTCTCATTCCTGCGTAATAATCAAGAAACTTCACTGCCGTACCATGAGTGCAGCAGGCGCAATGATATGACGCAGCGCCTGAAAATAGGCTCCTTCCGTCAACACAACGGAACTATTTTCAGGCGCTGCGTCATATCATTACGCCTGCTGCACTCATGGTACGGCAGTGAAGTTTCTTGATTATTACGCAGGAATGAGAGTATAGTTCCTAGCCATATCAGCCTAGAAAATCGCAACTTTACATTTTCCGTCGGTCTTAGTGCACGATGTAACTACAGAAGAGTCAAGTTTTAAATAGGAAAAATATCGAAACTCTTTGGTCATTTTTTTTTTAGAAATGCTAATGGTCTTGTCCACTTCAATGATGTATGCTAAGCTATGCTAAAAGTGGTACCGCCAGAACTGGAGATCGGCTGAATGGATTCAAAAACGGTAAAACTCAACAGTTTAACTCTGGGGGAGTTGTAAAATTAGCCTATTTCCAAAAAAGTGGAGTATCCCTTTAAAGGTTGAATTCTTGCAAGTGAAGAAATCATGACAGAGGTTAAAAGTACTGGACCCACATAAGTGACCAAACGTCCACCCCTATAGTCTCACAAAATCCTCTGGGATTTGTCTTCAAACCCTTCCTCCATGTTGTTTTTTGAGATGTTGTGAAGAATCAACTCCCGATGTGTGAGCTATCTGTGCGCTTACCGCTCCAGGAAGTGCATTAACACAAACTGTTTAGCATATGGCCTTTTCCTGTCCTCTTGGGCATCTGAATATGCATTATAACCTCTTCCTCTGCTGTACGCCTCTGTCCCAGAACATGCACGCCCACTCTCAGTTCTGCATGAGCGGAGACTACACCCTGGAGGGCACCGAACACGCCGTAAAGGAGCTGGCGCGCGAAGAAGCCGACGAGCATTTCGTCATCGTGTTGAGCGACGCCAACCTGGAGCGCTACGGGATCAGCCCGGACCGGTTCGCACGAGCCCTCACCAGTGACCCGCAGGTCAACGCCTTCGCCATCTTCATCGGCTCCCTCGGAGACCAGGCGGACAGGTGAGGTTAATGTCCCGCAGCAGGTTGTGTGTTAAACGTTAGCGTGCTTGGTTAAAGGTTAAGCCTGGATTACAACCGGCAGCGGCATTTCAGGACAACTGCCGTGCGGTGAAACGCCTTTGAGTGAAAGTCAGTCTCTAAAAAAAACAAGGCCCATTTCAGTGCTAAATGCAGTGCAAAGTCTCAAATGTTTAGGGCGGCACTATAAAGCATAATGAGTTTGAATTGTAATTAACATTGGAGCCGTGTCAAGTCTTTATTGTGGCCTGTGTGATTTGTACGGCTCTTCTCAAATAAAAGACCAGAGTCTATAGGCTCATGTTCAGCTCTCTTTGGCACATTGTTCGTGTTTTTTGAAGGATTTTGCGGGTCTTGACTCACAGAGGGCACATAAGGAGAGCTCGAAGGCATGCGGAAGGCGCCGCTGTGGTGGTCGGACACGTCCCGTATAGGCTGTCTTTTCATGGCCTCCGTGATTTAAAGAGCAGTCCTCTCTGAACATGTGCCTTCTTTTTAAAGGGACTAAATGACAGTAATGAATGATTAGTGAGGAGGGAGGGGCGGCAGCTAAGTGAAAGGACACTTTGCTTTCAGTCACTCTTAACCAACAGGCTTTTCCCAAGACCCTGTATCTTATCAAAGCCCCTCCATGAATGACAGCCATTGTCCCTCCTATGGGGGAATAGGAAAAGCTCATTTGCATTGCAAATGTTTGATGCGGGGGGCTCTTTTCTCTTTCTCTCCGACTTCCAGGCTCCAGAGGACTCTGCCGGCCGGACGATCTTTTGTCGCCATGGACACCAAGGAGATCCCTCAAATCCTTCAGCAGATTTTCACATCCACCATGCTGTCCAGTGCCTAGGAGAACACTTTTGGGTGAATCCCACCAAACCTGCCATGTCACTGATGACACGCAGCGATCTCTGCATCCAGGCGGAATGAAAACATGTCACTGGAAAATCAAAAGAAAGAAATAAGGCATTATTCTTTTTTAATTTATATTAAGCACATTTTCTCCCTGAATTTTCATTACCATTCATTCTTGCAGTGTAATAAAATATGTATTAATACGTCATAAGATGATTCTAGGTTGTACTGACATTCATTGTAATGGAGTTACTCCAAAAAATGAAAAATAATTAAACTGCTGAAGTTCATGTATGCTCATTTAAAAAATAATTGTTAAAAAAAATTTGAATCCCAATTGAAATAAAATGGAATTACTAAACTCTTTTTATGTACAGTAAAATGTACATAAAAACTGAAACAAATACATAAATATGGTAAAACATTACTGATGTTTATGTTTGCTGATTTAAAAAATAATAATTATTGTATAACAGTATATTTTAATACAGTAAAAAACTTAATGACAGGTATGATAATCCCCATTGAGATTAAATGTAATTACAACATTTATTCTCGAGAGTTAAATGTCCAAAAAACAGTGAAAATACATACATACATACATAAAGTAAAACATAACTGCCATTCATGTATGCTGATTTAAAATATCTCAAATATTTTTCAGCAAAATCTGAATGACAATAATGGGAAATGGGAACCTGTGAATTACAAAAACTCAAAAGTAAAATGTAAATGTGGTCACAATTAAAACATCGTCACAATCACAATTAAAATTTTGATTAAATTAATATGAATTATTTTATTTTAGTTTTGTGTTGTTTGTTTTGTTTAATAAAAAACCTACACTTTTAAAATGGAAGCAAAATGTATCTTTTCAGATGTATTTTTTGTGACATGGACATGTCAGTTTCTATGCGGATCCTCTGGTTTTGGTCTGTTTTCACCTGAGACGAGAGATTTCATAGTCTCTACGGACAAACCCCGACTTCTGTCTGCCCTCAATACGCCCTCAGTCACAAGGCCACTGCTTTGCTGATGGACTATACTGCAAACAAATCCATAGTCACAATAGAGGCTATGTATTGACGCCACTTTCCCCTCGGCCGTACAGAGTGGCAAAACATCCTGCAAAATGGCTGGTTTTAATAGTGTAAACTGCGAAAACACTAGTATAACTAACTATTACCAGCTTAAATTAATGGCAGTTGGACTCGACAGTGGCACTTCCAACTTGCACAAGAACCTGTGGTCATGGACAATGGCATGTGGCCAGAAATCACAATGATGTGATGCATCAGGACTGAACCGTCTACAATATTCTACAATATTAGTCTGTCTGTTGTCTTAACATATTCTGTAAGCTATTGACATAATCATGTCTAAATGGCTATCCATGCTGTGTTAAGACTGGTCTATCAAGTGAGTGCGCTGGTTTAACATTTAAATACATGCAATATTCAAATGACAAAATATTATATACTATTGTGTAACACTTTATTTTACAGTGTCATTGATGTACGTTACATGTATGGAGGACCAACTCTACCATATTTAAAAATAAATACAGAAATAAATAAATGCTCAATAAATAAATAAGCATACAATTAATTGCCCCAAAAAATACAATAAACAAATAAATGTAGGTAGAAATTAAATTATACAGTGAGACATAAATGTATATATCTCTTTTAATTAGCTTCTTTATTTATTCACCTTTGTAATAATTACCTTATTTATTTATTGTCCATTATAATCTTCAACTTTATTTATTAATTACTTATTTTTTTAAGTATTTATTTATGTGCATGTTATAATATTTTTGTCTGTTTTATTCTTCCTTTGTATTTTTTTTACCCTATTTATTTCTTCAATGCTATTTATTTCTGCCTGTCGTTTCTACATTTCTGTATGCAGTTCTGCCTTATTATGCAAATGAGGAGGGGCTGTGTCTTAAGGGGTCAACTTCTGCCCATAGAGAGCCTAAGCCCCTCCCCTCCCCTCCGCTTCCGGCTCATGGGACCTTATTTCGGAAAAAATATGTATGGTAGTCAATGGCGAGAGACAACTTATCTTTTTATTCCGTCTGAACTGTGCCCTGAATTACACATATGATGTTTGTCAATTTAAAAGATAATTATGAAAGTCAAGAAAGTCGCAGTTTGTCATAAAACAGAAGAGTGACATTTAGTTTTATGTGAAAATCGCTCAATGAACTACATCTCCCGGGAAGCGAAACAACGAGCGAGATCCGCTGCTCGTGTGTGTGCAGTCTGGTGCAAAACACTCAGGCATGACGGCGTAACGTTACGATTATAACGTAAGACTATAGAACAAATGACAGACGTTAGCTTCAGTAAAGTTAGCTTCATTCATTGAGAGAAAATGTGCGCCTTTTGGGTTTGTAGTCTTTTTAATTAGGGGAGAGCGGGGTAATGTGAGACACCCCCTGTATCTAGTCAACGGAACACATTTGTGGTCATGTGACCATTATGTTTTCAAGCCCATCCCATTTCCCCTTGGCCATGAAGGAGAGGACCTCATGATGCTGTGATAAGCATGTTTTTTTCACAAAAATATTTTTTTTGCATGTAAAAGTAAATTTTCTTGCTATCAACTGTTGTGCCAATTGATTCAGGTAGAAAAACTTATATCATACATGTTGATGAACTATTAACATATAAAACCATGTGATGATGCTAGCTGAAAAGTATCCTGAATTACTAAGAGAGATCGTTTTTTTCTAAAATGTGGCAGTGGGGTAAAGTGAGACAAATGCTGTGGGGTAAAGTGAGACATGAGGCACAAGTTAAGTTTAGTCTTAAACATATTTTAATGTAATATTACATTACATATGTTTTATTTTTTAATGTCATAAATATTGTAGAAAAGCCATCATGCCAAGGTAATACACCAGGAAGACAACCTGGGGAAAAAAAACCCTCGAGGAGATGGAGAGTGCAGCCGCTGAGGTCAAGGAAGGAACGAAGTCTATAAGAGCAGCTGCAAGGGATAGAAATATTGACAAGCCTGACAAGATATTGAGGAGGAGGAGCCCTGTTTTAAAAATGTGGAATATTGAAGCCAAAATTTTAAAAACGCAGTGCAGCTGCACAGCAGACACAGATGAACGGCTAGTGCAGTCATTGGATGTGCTGCGGCAACTGCACAAACCTATGGCGAGGCGGCTCAGACGCAAGAACCAATAAGGCTGCTTCGCGCCCTGGCGTGTCAGAGCCCTCCAGAATGGGTGTGGCCTAAGCCTTTACATTGGCCAGTTCAGCCAAAGGTAGTCGACTGAAGCGATCCCCTGATCAAAGCCACATACACTTTGAACGTGGAGGGGGTACGACCCGCGTCCAAACGCCCTTGTAAGAAGGCGAGTATACTCAATACTTCGCACAAATAGGGGTCCAGGCTCCGTGCAGCGCACCAGCCAGAAAATACCACCCGTTTCTGAGCGTAGAGGCGTCTAGTTGACGGCGCTCTTGCCTCAGTGATCGTTTTCAGCACCCTTTCCGGGAGACACCCGGGTATCCGTTGAGGGGCCATACATAAAGGTCCCACAAGTCGGGACGGGGACGGCAGATTAATCGGTTTGCCTGCGTGAGGTGGTTTCTCCTCAGCCGAACCGGCCATGGGGCTGTTTCCAGCAGCTGTATCAGCACAGAGAACCATGACTGGGTCTTGCAGAGAGGTGCTATTAGTAGCATTGCGCACTTGCTCTCCCTGATCCGTTCGATGACCTGTGGTAACATCGTGACTGGAGGAAATGCATACAGCGGGCGGCTCGGCCAATCGTGGGCAAGCACGATTGAGAAAAATATTCGGCAATGAGCGTTGTCTTCTGAGGCGAAGAGGTCGACCTCTGCCTCGCCGAAGATGCTCCATATTAGCTGAACCGTCTGTGGGTGAAGACACCATTCCCCTGGGGGAACATTGTCTCTGGATAACATATCCGCACCCTGGTTCAGGATGGCTGGCACATGCGCCGCCCTTGGGGAGCACAGGTTGTGCTGAGCCCATAAGATGAGGTTTTTGGCTATGGCATGCAGGTTGTTTGACCTGAGACAGCCCTAGCGATTTATATAGGACACCACTGCAATGTTGTCCGTCCGGACCAGGATGTGGTGGCCTTTTAAGTACGGGAGAAAGGCTTTCAGCGATAGAGCGACTGCTCTCATCTCTAGACAGTTTATATGTAGGCGCTTCTCCAGGCTTGACCATAGGCCAGAGACGAGCCTGCCCTTGTAAAGGGTCCCCCAACCTAGGTTGGAGGCATTTGTCGAGATCACTTGTCTCCTTGTAACCACACCCATACTCACTCCTGACTGATACCAGTCGTTTGCTTTCCAGGGAGCCAGGGCTCTGATAAAAAGTAAGTGGATCAGTTTACCCCCCGCTGGTTCACTTTACCCCTTTGATTTCTCTGGTCTGTCTCAGTTTACCCCTAAGCTGGGGTAAAGTGAGACACAAGACCACTTTTTAAAAAACAATCATATTTTCACTGCCCTTCGTCCTGAATACATTCTGATAATTTCCATTGCTAGGAAACATCCTGAATTAATGGGAAATGTGTAAATTTTACTGATATATAATTTTAGCTCGCTTAGAGGAGAGCAAATGTAAAAAATGTCTCACTTTACCCCACTCTCCCCTACGTATTTTCACAGTCTTATACCTCAACAGTTTTACATCAAACTGCGACTTTCTTGACTTTAAAATCTATCTTTTAAATTGACAATCAGGGATGAGTTCCCTAATGAATATTAATGAGTCTTCCCCTACCACCCTGCAAAAAAAAAAAATCGCGGCCGGTGGCATGTAGATTCGACCGATGCAGTAAAATGCTAACCAACCAATGGGCAGAAGTTGACCCCTTAAGACACAGCCCCTCCTCATTTGCATAATGAGGCAGAAATGCATACAGAAATGTAGAAACGACAGGCAGAAATAAATAGCATTGAAGAAATAAATAGGGTAAAAAAATACAAAGGAAGAATAAAACAGACAAAAATATTATAACATGCACATAAATAAATACTTAAAAAAATAAGTAATTAATAAATAAAGTTGAAGATTATAATGGACAATAAATAAATAAGGTAATTATTACAAAGGTGAATAAATAAAGAAGCTAATTAAAAGAGATATATACATTTATGTCTCACTGTATAATTTAATTTCTACCTACATTTATTTGTTTATTGTATTTTTTGGGGCAATTAATTGTATGCTTATTTATTTATTGAGCATTTATTTATTTCTGTATTTATTT